TGGTGGAGCTGGGGAGACCAGCAAGGAGTGCATTGAGTAATCCAGGCTGGAGGTGACAAACACACGCATAAGGGTTTCGGCTGCATTTGGGGTAAGGCTCAGCCTGCTCTCCATTCACGAACTAAACATGCACAAGCTGTAGTAAAATCCAATTAGCAAATCCCCGAACTGCGCTTTAATTGTGGTCACCAAAGATACATAACTTGTACTGCTACGCTAAAGTATTCTTTGTTGATGGCATTTACAAAACTAAGGTCAGCTCCTGAGCAATATTTTAATGCTAATGAAAAAATCTTTACTAACAAAAAGGAGGTAAAAATTTATATTAACTAGAATTACCAGGGCAGTTTCTCAATCAGTAAGAGCAGTTGCTCAAATTGATCTTGTACACAGTGGACAGTGGAAGCCTGGCTCATGAATAGCTTCTTACATAAGTTTTCCTGGAAGTGGATCACTGATTAAAAACTGAGCCTTGCCAAAACATCATCGTCTTTACCATAGAACACCAATGTCAGATTCTAGTTAAGCAGTGCAGGGGGGACCTTTTTATTTTGATTTATTCTGGAAGTAGATTAGACATTACGTTGGCTTGTAGAAATTTACAGTACAGAAGAAGAAATTCAAACCATGTGCTGGCTGTTTTAAAGAGCAATCCTATCAGTCCCATTTATCTGTCCTTCCCCATGCTCCTATAGTTTGCTGCTTTTTAAATATCTATTTAGTTCACTTTTGAAAGCTAGTAGGGATCATGCCTCAACCACAATTCCCAGCAGGGCATTCCATATCCTAACTACTCTTTATATGAAAACAAATTCTAACCTCTCTTGGTTGCTAACTATGTTAAAATGATGCCCTGTAGGGACACAATGGGATTCCAATTCCAAATGGGACATAGGGAACAAATTGCAGTCATATTTAGAAGCACCAAGCACAAATAACGTACATTTCATGAGTGCTGGTAAATTCGGTATTAGCCTGGCTCAGTAGCGTCCCTCCTCTCAGCAGACACTGGTTTGTTTCATGTCCCTCACCCTGCCCACCCCACCATTAGCTAGTTGGGTCCAGCCTTTCTGCCCCCACACCCTGGAACTCCATCTCAGAGTCCCTTGGCCTCGCTCACTTGCTTGACTTCCTCAAGGCCCGTCTCAAGACCTTCCTCTTTGATTGTGTCTTTGGTGCATAAATTAAATCAGAAAACTTGCGAGTTACATACTATGACTTGATTCTGCTTAGATACAAGTGGCCACTTTTGAAATAATTTTTTTAATGATTAGTTTATTGGCTATTTTCTAAATTTATTGACTGATTTCCTGAAGCTGTTGATAAAATAGCAATTAAATTATCTATGCTATCACATTAACGAATCTACTAAAATAGTCATTATAAAACACAAATGTTCAGAATAAATTGATTTATTATTGTAGTTCAGGTAAGGAGCAATTATGTGCTTCTAAATTTTGAAACAGACCCCATTAACTCCAAATAATGATGTGTCCTAGTGTCCCATGAAATTTTTCTTCCGTGATTATGAACAGATGTAGAGTAGGACATATTTCATGAAGGAGACATTTCCTGAAACAGCACGTATAGCAGTTCAGCACCTATACAAGTTGAATCAATTTTATTGTTCTGTAAGTGTGTGTTTGAGACTGTAAAATGTAAATATGAACGAACTACTTTGCCCATGCTTTCTGGAATTCTCTTCCAAAATGACTCCACTTCGCTCCCTCTCTGCTTTCAAATTCTCTTCAAATTCTCTCACCAAATTGACTGTCTCCCCACTACCCATACCCTCATTTCCCAGCCAGCTGACTGTTCCACTGTCACTGTAAATCCCTTTTTAACATTCTCATGATGTGAAAGACGCTATATAAGATTGATTCTATTATTATAAATTAGCTGTTGCATTTGCTTAACAGGATTCACTTATTTTAAAATTATGGTTATTTTGTGATATGCTTTGAGAGTGAAAGGCACTGTATAAGTGTAAGTTGTGGACAGAAAGGTGGTCAGTTACAGGGAAAGCAGGAATCCCAACAGAAAAATGCACTAAGACCTCCAGGTTTACAAATTCAACCATAGCAGAACACATTATCTGTTTGTTGCTAAAGCATGACAGGATCAAACAGAAAAATGTTGAACACGAGGCCGGAGCCGGCCGAGCGGAGTCAGCGGGTGGTGGAGTGGGGGGTAAGCAAATCGGATAGGTAGGGAGGTGCGAGCCCATGAAGGGATTTGAAAACGAGCGAGAGGATCTTGAAGTCGATTTGTTCGATAATTGGGAGTCAGTGGAGACTGGCAAGGACTGGTGTGATAGGGCTACGGAGTTTTGTGTGAGTAGTATCCAGGCAGTGGATTTCTGAATTAGTCCAAAGACATGGACGAGGATTTCAGCTGCTGTGGGTGTGAGGTACGGGCGGAGGTGGGCAATGTGGCGGAAATGGAAAAAAGCGCTCCTGGTCAGGGAACAGATGTGTAGTAGAAAGGAAAGCTGGAGAGCAAACCTGACCTCTAAGTTTGAGGGAGAGCTCAGGGAGGTTGTGGAGTTTGGACCCACAAGAAAGAAGATGCTGATGGGAGCCATAGATTACAGCTTCTGTCTTGCCGACGTTCAGCTGTGGGAAATTTGCGCTCATCCAGGCCTTGAATAAACAAGCTGACAGGACATCAGCGAACTGGGAGTCACAGCTGGAGGAGGGGAAGCAGATTTGTGTGTCATCTGCGTACATGTTGAAGTTGACTCCATGTCTGCAGATGACATCGCCAAGAGATAGCATGTAAATGAGGAAAAGTAGGGGGCCAAGGATGGAGCCTTGGGGTACCCCCCAGGTGACCGGGCAAGAGTGGAAGGAGAAATTGTTTACTGAGATATACTGTTGGCGATTGGTCAAGTAGGACTCGAACCATGCGTGTGCAGTCTCACTAAGGTGGATGAGGGAGGAGAGGCGGTGGTGTAGGATAGTGCGATGAATGTGTTGAACGCACAGAGAGGTCCAGGAGAAAGAGGAGGCAGAGGGACCCCTGGTCAAAGAGAGAGAGGATGTCATTTGTTACTTTGACGAGCGCTGTCTCTGTATTGTGGGTTGGGTCAAAAACTGGACTGGAGAGTTCTAGTAGGGAGTGGAGGGCGAGGTATGAGCAAAGTTGATTTGCAACCACGCGTTCCAAAACTTTTGCCGGGAAGGACAAGTTTGAAATGGGTCTAAATTTGTGAGGTTGGAGGGATCGAGGGTAGGTTTTTTGAGGATTGGACTGATGACAGCGGTTTCTTTGGGGGGTTAGTGTATCAGAGCCTGAGGAGAGGGACTCGTTGATTGTGTCAGCCAGCAGTTGGGTGACCAGAAGCTGCGTGGGGAGGGGATCGAGGCAGCAGGTCATGAGCTTCATCTTGGTGATGGTGGGGGAAAGGGAGGCGGGAGAGATGGGGGCAAATGACGGTAGAAATTGTGGCGTGGTTGGAAGAGAGGGTGGTGAAGGAGGCATGGGTGGGGTTGTAGGCAACATGGGGGGTGCAGGGGAGGAGGAGCAGGCAGGCAGGCGGATGTTGTTGATCTCGGTGATAAAGAAGTCAATGTCTCTTCTGAAAAACAGCACCACAAACAATAGAGCACATCCCAGCACTGCACTAGACTGTCATCTTAGCATAGAGTTCCAAGTCCTGATGCAGGGCTTGGGACAGTACCCTGTGTGAGGGCCGTTATATAAATGCAAGTTGTTATTATTGTTGTTGAACCTGCAACCTCCTGACTCAGATGCGAGAGTACTGCCAGCTAAGCCAGGCTGACATATTTACAAAGATTTACAAGAAATCTGGAGCACTGATACAGCCCACTCAGTCCAACCAGTCCAGGCTGGTGTTTATGTTCCACACGAGTCTCCACCCATTTCTTACTCCTTTGCATACCCTTTTATTCCCCTCTCCCTCATGTCTAGCTTCCGCTTAAATGCATCACAGATCTGTAGCTGTAGAGTTCTGTAGCTCAGTGGTTAGAACACTTGCCTCCGCTCGACTGGCACCGGCCTCCTGCTCCTCCCTCACACCCCCCGCCCCACCATCGGTGGTTGCGCTTTCAGCCACTATGCCACAAAACTCTGGAACACTCTCCCTCAATCCCTCCGCCTTGTCCCCTCTCCCCCCTTTTTCAAGTCCTACCTGAAAATCCGCTTTGACCGTGTTTACGGCCACCTCCCCTTCAGCTCAGAGTCAGGCTCTGCCACTGTTAAGTGCTCTGAGATGCTACCCTGCAAGGAGGGCACTATATAAGTGCAATTTGTTGTTGTGCGCAATTGACTGGCACGTTTCGCCCACAAAATATACAGTCAATTCACTTTACAGTATATTCTTTGAAGCACTTTGAGACGTCTCGAAGACATGATAAGGCACTATATCAAATGCAAGGATTATTATTATTATCTATAATATCTGATTCAACCATCACTTCAGGCAGTGAGTTCCACAATCTCACTACCCTCTGTGTGAAGTAGCTCCTCCTAAATTCTCTTTTAGATTCCCTAATCGCTAGCTTACACTTGTTTCCTGTGTATGGACTCCCCAATCAGTGGGAACAGCCTATTTATGTTAACCTTATCAACCCCTTTTATAATTTCAAACACCTCTATTGGGTCTTCCCTTAAATGTCTCCTCTAGCCAAAAAAAAGGCCTAACCTATCCAGTCGTGATGCAGAATCATAGAAAATGTAGAATCATAGAAATTTACAGTACGGAAGGAAGCCATCTGGCCAAATGGTTCTGTAACGAACTCTCAGAGCAAGCTGTTCATTCAATCCCACTGCCAGGCCCTAATATATCAGAAATATTGCACAAGTTGTTGAAGTATTCACTATTTTAAGTTGATCCGAACATAGATATATCCTATCATGCAAATGGTTTAATTGAGTTTTTACGTTTTCATATGGCTTCTCATTTAGAATGTTAACTCATCAACACATTTTGTATGTTCAGTTTTACATATTTCTTTCATGCTTTTCTTTCTCTCCAGAACAACCCAAGGCCAGTGAATTACCAGTTCCAGCAGAATCTAGATTATTATAGAGCACGTGGTGCAGAATTTGTTAATAAGACACGGTAAGTTTTGCAGACAGACAGACAAGACAGACAGTATGTATGTATGTAACTCACTAATTATTGAAAAGCAGCAATGGTCCCACAAAGAGCCAGGAGGTGAAAAACACAGTATTACAGTATGACCCATATACCATTCTTTAGTATACTGCAGTTTAATCTGTGGTCAGACCATGGACCCACAGGGTATGGGGAAAGGTGGTACTCTTTTGGCTTCTCATGCCCACTAACTGGCTTATCGTGTGAAGGTGCAGAGGGCCTCTAGGTAATAGTGTTATGGGATCATTAATGTCCACCTGAACAAGCAGACTGGACCTTATCTTATAAGAAACACAGTGTAAATGAGGAGATAGCTACATTATTATTCACTCATGTCAATGCATGCTGCAGGAAAGTTGTTTTGATCAAAACAATATTATTTTATATATATGACTATTTACTATTAACTGTTGGCCACATTTTAAATATCAAATATAATATTTAACATATTTTCTCATTATCCAGTGCCGGTGCCAAGGTTGCTCCATTGAACATTAATAAAGTGTCCAGCAGCCTGATGAATCTGGGGCGGAAACTAATAAGTCCAGCCATTACAGTTGGTGCTACCAGCAATTTTCAAACCGTTGGTACAACCGGCAGCAGTAACCTTGTACCTCAGCATCCACCCAGCAAGGCCATGGTAGAACACACCCAACAACAACAGCAACAGCAGCAACGAATGATGAAATCTGAAAGCATGCCTGTGCAGCTCAGCAAAGGTAAGTGTTACCATAGGATATATCTTTTTGAGCTGAAACATAGCATTTTACTCACAAAATATACAGTCAATTCACTTTACAGTGTATATGTTCCTGTCATCATGTAGTTGTATACTTGTATGAGAAAGGCTTGACCTACCTCTTCTCTCTCTTTCTCTCTTCCCCCAGAATTAATAATTAGAGATTTCTGCTGGCATAAAATATTTGATCTGGAATTGTAAACACAGTCTAGTGAAACCAGAATTGAGATTTGGCGAAACATGCCCATTTTTGACCGGCTTGGCTAGAATAACAATAATAATTGGAATTAAATACAGGTCGAATGCCATATTGCTGAAGTTCTAGCATGTGTATCTTATCTTGTGATTTAAATGATTATTGCACACTGTGATCCTCTCAACAAAATTCTAATGTTTCATTGATTTGCTCTGCTGCAAGAAATAAGACAACTGAAACATTTTCTTCTGCGATATTTTAACATAGTTCAAAGTCAACAACACCAAATTACATTTGTATAGCGCCTTTCACATCGGGAGGACTTCCCAAGGCCCTGGTCAATCAGGGATTTGGACCTGAGCATGGTTTGGGATCAGGAGGGGTGGAAGGCAAGAAGGGTAGGGGTAGGAGGGTGACCAAAGGCGCAGTTGAAGAGGAGGGTCTTGACACATGCCTTGAAGGAGGCAAGAGAGGGAGCAAGTTGAAGGGACTGTGGGCTGGAGTTCCAAAGGTTGGTGGCAGAGAGGCTGAAAGCCCGACCACTGATGGAGGGGCGGGCCGAGCAGGAGACGAGGAGCAGCCACAGCCTGCTGAGTGGAGGGAGCGGAGAGGTTGATGTGGTGTTAGCAGATCACAGAAGTAGGAGGGAGCAAAGCTGTGGATCAGCCTCTCCCTCCCTCTCTCAATCTCTCTCTGTTTCTCAGTCTCTTTCTTTCTCTTTTTCTCTCTTTCTCTTTCCCCTTCTCTCTTTTTCTCTGATTCTCTTCCCCCTCTCTAATGCTACACTGGGCTGCACAAGTCAAATGAAAACCAAGAAACCTTACATTGATTCACACTATCGGATTATTTTTTGCTGATACCTCTCAGCTCCAAATGTAGTATTGCATCAGAACCTGGTGTGGATAAGTGCACCCACAGATATGAGATGGGCAGATACACAGTTTCAAACCCTTATCCCCAAAAGAAAAATAGTCTTGCCTGCACCTTTAACATATGATTAATTTACTATTTTCTACATATTGGGGATGCAATGTATTTTTTTACTTAACCAAAAAAGTAAATATAATTTCTTTAAAACTTCAAATCCATAAAGCAGGCTTCAAGTTCAAGTCCAGTATTACTGCGACATTCAGGTGTTTATTGGCTCTCGTATCACATTTATGGCTTGTTGTATGGAACTAACATAGGTACGAGTCTCTTTCCTACTGGCTTAAAAAGATACACTATTAATGTTTATTTCAAGTTCGTGGAGTTTTGTTATTCACCAGCAAAACAGGCAGAGACAGCGCTTGAATTTATTATATTTTGCTTGAATCAACGCAAGTAATCTACTCCCTTGCCTTTTCCAGTGTGGAATTATAATAATAATCCTTGAATTTGATATAGCACCTCTCTCTTAACATCTTTGAGATGTCTCAAAGCGCTTCACAGAATATACTGTAAAGTGAATTAACTGTATATGTTGTGGGCGAAACGATTATAGCTAGGAAGTTTGCAATCTGATGTTCTCCCAGTGATATGGACAAGATCAGAAATTCACCATGCCAACGACACTAAACAACAAAGATGTGCATATATCATGCCCTTTATGTGGGTAGAGACTTGGAGCCCTTAAGCGCTTTAACTCTTGGAAAAAATGAAATGCCACAATGAAATACTTCTTGAAGGAGATGCTGTTGAGAACAGTTTGATTTACCCTCCCCCTCCCTCCATTTCAGCATACACACCATCAATGGAATTGGTCTTATTCCTTTGTTCTCATTTGAAAGCATACAAGCAGTCCAATGGTGACCTCAGCACCTTCAGGGAGCATTTAGTAATGTTATTAAAGAACTAATTATGTGACTAGCTCTTTAATACCAATTAAGCAAAACACTCAACTTACAAGCTTTGCACTCTGCTTCCAACATTAGTTTGTTTCAGATTGAGTTCACTCCGTATCCACTAACCAAATTCAATGTATAAATAGATTATTGTTACATTCTTCAATGAATTTTGAGCACTCTGCTGGAAGCACTGTCTACCACACTAGTGTGCATATCTGAATCTCTACTGAAGGTTCTGGTTTATAGAATCATGGAATGTTATGACAAGAAAATTGGACATTTATCCCATCAAGTCAGAGCAGATGTATTCTCAACATGAGACACTTGATCTCATCCCATTCTCCTCCATACCGTTGAATATTCCTCTTTTTCAAGTATCTGTCTGATTTTCTTTTTAAAGAATTAATCCCTCAACAAAAGTTTGTGAAGGAGAATTCCACATTCCCACCACCACTTTGCGGTTAACTTGCACCTTTCTTGGTTCCCAGGAACACTTGATTCTGGTCAGTCTGATTCTTTTGTAGCTCCTATCACGGAAGGCTGGTGCTAAGTACCTGGCTATAATTTATCAAACACAATTACGCTGTCAATCTCTGTCATTATTTAAAGGGAACAAGTGACTTCCAATGGATTGATGGCACAGCCTAAAACCATGTATAATATATTTGCAAAAACATCTTGTTTGGCTAACTCTCCTATTGTTAAATAAATCCACCAGTTCATGAGATAGGGAGCCATACAGACTATGATATTTCCAGACAACATAATTGGCCCCAGAGGTAAAAAAAAATCAACAACAACATCAACAAGATTCCATTTATAAAACGCCTTTCACGTCAGGAGGACGTCCCAAGGCGCTGCACAGTTGGGTCATGACCCGAGCAGGGGGGAAATGGTTAGGGTGAGGGGAGGGGAGGGAGCGAGGAGGGGGGAAATGGTCAGGGTGAGGGGAGGAATGGGAGGGAGCGAGAAGGGGGAAGAGAGTCGAGAGGGGAGCTGAAGGCTCGGTCAAAGAGAAATACTCTGTGCAAACCCTTACTGAAGTGAAGGATAGCCACTTGGATAAAGATTCAATTATTATTCAGAATAATGTTTCTACTTCTATTGACTTGTTTAATCTTTGATGTCCTTTTACCAAAGCCCTTTTTTGTCTTTTGTTACCTACAATTTCTTGATAAAGGAATAAATATGATCTCACGAGCCGGGATTAATTGGTAGCATTCTTTGCTTCTGAGTCAGAAGGCTGTGGGCTCAAGTCTTGGCTGAGTTCATAGTCTAGGCTGACATTCCAATGCAGTGCTCGAGCAGTTTGCAAATTGGCTGCCACGTTCACCTACAAAATACAGTAACTACACTTTACAAAAACCTCTACGAAGGAGTTTGATATATTTTGACATAATAAGGCACAGTATCAAATGTAGCGATAATTACATCAAAAGATTTATCTAAGCATAATTAAGCAAAAGTAACCTAAAACGCTCCATCTTGTCATTTGCAAATAACTTTTCTTATTTACTAGGGCAGGTAGTTACAGGAGATGGTGCTCAGGCATGTATCCCTGCCAAGACAATTACTGAGCTCTCAGGTAACAATTACCATAGCAGCTTATCATTTTGTGTTGTATTGGCTGTAGTATCTCCATTTGCTTGTGGTCACCAAAGCATCTTAGGCTTTCTTTTCTAGTGCTGTTGATGCCGCATCCATTTCTACCTGTGTGATACACTGTCAAAATCCTGCCACTGTGGGGCAGCATTGCTTAAAGAATTAATGAGTTTCATGCCCATATCTCACTATGCTGTTTGCATGCTAAGCTGATGAAATAAACCCCAAAGGTATGTTTTTATACAAGAATGACTTTTATAAAAGTAATATAATCAGAGTGTACATACTTGATTGCAGCTGCAAATTTAAGCAGTCAGTCAGCATATTTCATTTTGCTGCAAGACAACCAGTGATCATTTTGAGTGTTTAATATCACAGATTTGTTTTTTTTTTAAAAAGTATAATGGCAAAATTAATGTCACCAATTTTGCAGATCTGTTGCAAAGTACCAAGATCATAAATTATCTGGGTAAATTATGTACTTAATCTGGTATGAGCATCTTAGGTTCTCTATTCACTGATTATATCATTATCTATTATAAACATCTCAGTATGAGTTTAGATTTTTTAAAGGATGTCACACACCTAATGTGATGCCACATTTAAATGGCCAATACAGTGAAGGTGTGAAGGTTGGCTTCACAAATTATTTAAGCATGATATATCTGTGTATTGTTTTGGATACACGGTGAATAAGTCATTTTCTTTTCAACAGAATTTGTTGACCTGCTTCACATGTATACATATATAAGATATATATATCATTGAGAAGAAATGTGACCATCATCTATGTGATTATACTGCTTAGGCAGATTTATGGGATTGTGGATCAGCTGTGATGCAGTTCACGAAAAAAATATTTTTGGACTCAGAGGGTTATTTGATGATATTTTCATAGATCTATTTGAGTGTTTCACATTCACATCTTATTGCCTTTTTCCAACACTTCAATGGGGAAAGAGTCATAGCAGCAATATGCAATTAGCTACATGCTACAGCTTACAATTGGTGAATACCGTTCCATCTAAAATGCTGCTGTTATCCTGCTGTTATCAGCAGAGCTGATGTATGCCATTCACCTACAAAAAACAGTTACTACACTTTACAGTCAATCACGTGAAGCAATCTGAGACACAAAATACAATATCATGTACACTTACATAACTTATCTACTGATCTACGAATATTAACAAATCGTCTTGATAAATCAGAGAAAAAATAACTGCTGCTTGACTAAAATCGCTAAATGAATACAAATTAAGGAGTGAACCTACAACAGCAAATTACATTTTTATAGTGCCTTTCACATCGGGAGGACTTTCCAAGGTGCTGGACAGTCAGCAATTTGGACCTGAACAGGAGGATGGGATCAGGAGGGGTGGAGGGCAGAGAGGGTAGAGGTAGGAGGGTGACCAAAGGTGCGGTCAAAGAGGAGGGACTTGAGGTGAAAGGAATGTGGGATGGAGTTCTAAAGAGTGGAGGCAGAGAGGCTGAAAGCCCGACTGCCGGGCGGGGGACGTTGAGCAGGCTGGAGCCTGCTGAGTGGAGGGAGCGGACAGATTGGTATGGCGTTAGCAAGTCACAGAGTTAGGAAGGAGCAAGGCCGTGGAGGGCTTTGAAGGTGAGGATGAAGATGAGGATTTTGAACTCTATCCTCTGGGGGATGGGGAGCCAGTGGAGCCAGGCGAGGGTGGGGATGATGGAGTAACGAGGCCTAGTGCAAGAGAGGACACAAGCTGCAGAGTCCTGGATGATCTGCAGCTTGTGGAGGGAAGAGTTGGGAAGGCCGACAAACAGGCAGTTGGCGTAGTTGAACCTAGAAGTAATAAATGTGTGGATGAGGATTTTGGTGGCCTGAAGGGAGAGGCAGTGGCGGAGCCGGGGGGGATGTTGAGGAAGTGGGAGAAGGCAGAGCAGGTCATGGCACGGAGGTGGGATAGAAAGGATAGTTGAGGGTCAAGCAAGACCCCAAGGTTCTGGATTGGCTTAGCAAGATGGAGTGTGCAACCGTGGATGGTGATGCTGTCAGCACCTGAGGTGAGGAGGCGCTGACGGAGCCAATCAGGAGAGCCTCGGTCTTGTTGACATTCAACTGTGGAAAGTTAGCTCTCATCCAGGACTTGATGTCTAACAGACATTCTGTCAGGAGAGCAGTGGTCCTGGAGTCAAGGGTGGAGATGGAGATGGAGAGATAGAGTTGGGTGTCATCCGCATATTGTCCAGTCCTGTAGCTCAGTGGTTAGAGCGCTCGCCTCACAAGCAAGAGACCTGGGTTCATTTCCCGGCAAGGTGAAACCTTGGGCAAGTTTCCTTACTCCACACTCCTAATAATATTCCCTCAATAAAAAAAAACAATAATACATTGGTTGCTTCAATCTACGACTGTTTGTGGGACACTGCTGTGTGCAATTGGCTGCCGCATTTCGCCCACAAATAGACAGTCAATTCACTTTACAGTATATTCTGTGAAGCACTTTGAGTCGTCTGGAAGACATAAAAAGTGTTATCTCAAATGCAAGGATTATTATTATTAAACACACCAATTTATACTTATATAGCGTCCTCCACACAGGGTAGCATCTCAGAGCACTTAACAATGGTGAAGCCTAACTCTGAGCTGGGGGGAGAGGGGAGGTGGCCGTAAGCATACATGTGGAAGTTGACCCCGTGTCTATGGATAATGTCACCAAGAAGAGGGACCATGTACATGTTGAACCTAGGACCTTTCTGATCTGTATGGCACAATGCAACGTAGCACGGTGCAACTTGAAGTGAACTTCTCTGTATAAGAAGCAATATTATTGATATTCTTTTAGTTTGAGGTTTAATTCCTTGGAAGTAAGCATATCCTCCATTTTTCAATCACCTTCCACCGCAAAATAAATTATCCCCCAAATCTTTGTCAGATTAGCTCAACATACCTAACTACGACGTTCCAGGAAACGTTTCATTGCAAATATCCATTTCAAGTGCACTGTTGTGGGTAAGGAATGCCAGTATTGATGTCTCCGCAATAATGTTGTGTTATTAAATAACAAGCCTCCAGAACAAACCTGGTCTTATTGAAAATGTTTGAGCCAACTCTATGGCAATAATAGTTGTCAACACGAGATAGTAGAGAACAGAGAGCACTGACAACTGGGTCACAGGGTTAACAATAACAACAACAAAATTACATTTGTGAAGCACCATTCATGTCGAAAGGACGTCCCAAGGCACTGAACAGAGTGAGCAAAGCGAAGGGATTGCGGGAGTTCCAAAGGGTGGGACAGAGAGGCTGAAAACCCGGCCGCCAGTGGTAGGGCGGGTCAGGCAAGAGACATGGAACAGGCGGGAGCCTGCTGAATGGAGCAAGCGAACAGGTTGATAGGGGGGTCGGCAGGTCAGAGAGGTAGGAGGGCCTTGAAAGTGAGGACGAGGATTTTGAGGGATGGGGAGCCAGTGGAGTCGGACGAGGGTGGGGTTGATGGGGTCATGGAACCTGGTGCAGGGAGAGGACACGAACTGCAGAGTTCTGGATGATCTGCAGCTTGTGGAGGGAAGAGTTGGGGAGGCCGACAAGGAGGGTGTACTCGAGCCTTGAGGTGACGAATGTGCGTATGAGTGGTCCGGTGGCCTGAGGGATGAGGCAGTGGCGGAGACGGGCAGTGTTGAGGAGGTGGGGGAAGTCAGAGCGGATCATGGCACGGATATGAGGAAGGAAGGACAGTTAAACAATCAGATCACATTTAAGGATGTAGAATCCAATGCCAGATGTATCTTGATCAATACCATTAACATTGCTCATCCAGGGAAAATACATTGGAGTTCTGAAAGATTAATAGTCAAAATGTATATAGGATGTTTTATAGATTATAATATTTCTATTTGCTGTATCTTATCACAGATAGTTCTTGAATGGTCGTCCATAAAAGCATTAATACTTAAGGGAAAGTAACATTAAAGCATATGGGATTACACGAGATAGCTCGAGTGAGGGCAACAGCACAGACTCAATAAGTCTCTTTCTAAGTTATTGAAATGTCTCCAGTGTGGGGCAAAAGTAAGACAGTCATGGATTTTCATCATTGTACAATATTTACACAGATGCTTTTTCAAAGAACTGCGTTAATTTTTATTGCGAATAAATTAAATTTGAAGTTGGAAATCTATTTACAATCCTCATTCATATTAGTATATATTTGTGGAGTCCTGTAGCTCAGTGGTCAGAGCACTCGCCTTGCAAGCGAGACACCTGTGTTCAATTCCAGGCAGGGCGAAACCCTGGGCAAGTTTCCTTACTCCACACGCCTAATAATAATCCCTCCAAAACAAAAACAATAATAAATTGGTCATTTTCAATCCACGACTGTTTGTGGGACATTGCTGTGCGCAATTGGTTGCCGCGTTCGCCCACAAATATACAGTCAATTCACTTTACAGTATATTCTGTGAAGCGTTTGAGACGTCTAGAAGACATGAAAAGCGCTATATCAAATGCAAGGATTATTATTGTTATAAAGATTATTATTTTTTGATGAGATGCAAAATGTTAATGTCAGGTTGAAAACCTTTGAACTACATATTAGTGAAGGTTAACAGAGGTTACATTTAATGTAAGGTTACATTTATTTTCCAGGTAATACAATATTAAGGGAGGTATATTTGTCCTTGTATGTCTTAACGTATACCTGTCCAAAAAGCTATAGAATTTGTACTATTGGAAATTTGGGGTCTGAAATACACTGGGCTTCATTTGAGATCTCAAGCTCAGGACTAGCACTGGGAATTTGTGAGTAGCATTGGAATGTTTGATGCAATGCCTTACTTTGGTTCCCAGGATGATGAGAAACTAAATGTATCTTTCCAGGAAATCTATGGGAGCTTTACAGGAATGGGGACGTTCCTTTTTGGGATCTCCTCAGTTTGGACAAAAACTGCTGAAGTTTAATCAGCTACAGTTTAATTACATTGATTCAAAAGTTAGATGTGTTGAAAGAATTTTGCATATTATTTCTAAATTATAGGATGACAGCTTCCCTTTAAACTGTGTAGTATTGGGAACAATGTACACCTATAATATATGTACCCAATACACCTATAATATATTACCCATATCTGTTAAACTGCTTGATTTCATGTGTGAGGAGCTGTTCACTTTTTTTTAAATGACTAAAATAAGTTTATAAGATAATCAATACTGTGGTTAGTTTGATTGGGCAGTGCAATTAATATTAATATAATTACAATATAATCATAATATAATAATAATCCTTGCATTTGTTACAGCACCTATCATGTCTTCGAGACATTTTAAAGCGCTTCACAGAATATACTGTAAAGTGAATTGACTGTATATTTTGTGGGTGAAATGCGGTAGCCAGTTGTGCACAGCAGTGTCCCACAAACAGTTGTAGATTGAAGTGACCAATTTATAATTATTATTTTTTTGAAAGAATTATTACCCCCGGAAAAACGATCCGCCAATCGACTAACAACCTGGTTCCTACTTACTGCTAGGTAAACAGAGGCATGTGGAGTAAGGAAACTTGTCCAACATTTCGCCTTGCCAGGAATCGAATCCTGGTCTTCTACTTGTGAGGCGAGTGCTCCAACCATTGAGCTACAATACAAAATTACATTTGTATATTGCCTTTAATGTCGAGAGGATTTGGTGTATTCTTTTATAGAAGTGTATAAATTTGGTTTATGCTTTTGTACAAGTGTACAGAACTGTAAAAGCCAATCGTGATGTGCCTCTACAGAGTAAAACTTAAGATAATAATATTTTAATGGGTTTGGTGTCCAATAGCAGAAGAAAATCATAGATAGTTTTAATGAAGCAGATATAACAAATAGACAGCTTAACACGTACCAAAAAACTCAGTCACTATAAAAAATCACATTCTCAAAGACTAGATTTCTGTTTTAGAAGCATGTGTTATTATTAATGTACGTCCATCAAGTACCCCTATTGTAACTGTGGTATTTGATGGATATATCGACGTGTAGTAAGCTGATACTGTGACCTAAAATGGAGTATATCACATCTACCTTCAAATTCTAACAACACCCCATTTGCTGACCCAGATTTGGCATTAATGCCCCAAACTTTTGACAAAATTACTCACAACACATATCAAACGTCACAGCGTAAATGTTTCATTATGAAATGCTGTGAGTCAGAGATTCAGTAAATAGAGTCCTTCTTTGTAACTATTTTGATCCTGTCAATTGTTGCGAGCTTATATGTCGCATCAAAAAATCTTGTTGGTGTTCATGAATGTCACCTCCCTAACAAAACACAGCAAAAGCTTTTAAAACCTGTCATAAAAATCAATTTTAAGTAAATTTTATACTTTCATTTTATAAGCCGTTTGCCTCTCTCTTAGGTCACAGCTCTACTCATGTTACTTCCTCGCCAAGTACTGAGAGTTTGCCTGCTGGGAGAGACAGTACAGCTTCGCCTCCTCTGTCTTCTGCAAAGAAAGATTCGTTCTTCAGTACAATCTCCCGTTCCCGATCACACAGCAAAACTATGGGAAACCGCAAAGACATGGTGAGTCCTTGCACTAATATGGTTCTTTTCAATTGTTCTTTGACAAAAGAAGAAAATATCATAGAAAATGTGCAGAATGAAATATTTTGCAGCTTTCCCACATGAATACTAAAGAAAATACAGGGTCATATAACCTTGCTTTTTATACAGTATTGCAATCCTCTCTTGATACAAAAAATAACTACCTACCCAGAGACTAGCAGGGTACTCTTCTCTCATCTTTCTACCAATAGTTTAAAGGTAAAACATGTTCAAGAATGATTTGGAATAATTTTTCTACATTTTCTCATCTTGTTAATAAATAGATATGGCACATTGCAATCTTTAATTAAATTATTGGTAACAGGGTTATATAAAGGGAAGAAGTGTTACAGTTAGTATCACATTATCTTTATATTTTCTTTTGTATTTTGGGGTTTTGCTATTCATCTTCTGAGTAAACATCACAGGGAGCTCATTTGATGCAGCACCAGAAGGAAATGGATTTGAATCCAAGTGGGTTCACTTAACCCTTCAACGGTTCAAATCAGATAAAATCATCATTGTGCCTAAAAGTATCCTTCACCGGGAGAGGAGGTAATCAGAATTTCCCTCTGGTGGAACAGGCACAAGCTCTGAAGAGGAAAAGTAGATAAGATCTGCAGTAATACAACTTGTGTTCAAGGTATACATATTTTTCAAGCCAAAGCTGCAAAGGTTAGGAGGGCCTTAGCTGGACAGCCCAGTACCTTCTTGCACTGGGAACCCATGGAAAACATACTGACTCATAATTATTAGGCACTCCTTGTTGATTCATTTCTTTTGAGCAATATTGAAGTCTTTGTGTCAATGAAAGAATAAAGTTGAATTCTTAGAAGTTACTCCTCTGCGCACTTTGCAAGTACTTTAATTTGTATTTTTGAAAACTAAAATTTAGAAAATCATAAGTTTATATCTTGCGAACAACATTGTAAAAATTAAGATGGTCACATATTACTATTAGTACAAAATACGGAGGCAGTAATTTCTGGTATTTTTAGTGTTTTGAGCTTAGAGTGTCACATTTTTCAATATTTTGTAACTTGTAATGTCAGCCAGATACTCCAGGCTGCCACTTCGGACCCAAGCTCCCACTTTAACTTGTAAAGTGCTTTGTGATGCTCTCTCCCTCTAGTGAAAATCATTGTTGTTGTAGGCACCGATAGTAGAATTCTTCGTTGTAGGTTCAACCAACATATCAAGATCTGAACGTATTATGTAATTTAGCAATCGAGTGCTCATCCAATGTCCACCCACACACACAGACATCCCTGTTCCAGCATGGATGTTGCACATTTTTAAAGGAATTGTAATGTATTGCTTACAAACATAGGTAAACACTCTCATAGAGTACTAAGGGGAGACTGCATTGTTTTGTGTCCCATTTTTCAGATGAATTTTTTCCTGATATCCTGGCTAACCCTCCAGATTAATTGGTGATTCACCTCAATCTTGCTGGCACAAATGGCTGCTGAGTTTGCTGACAAAATCACTACTTTTCACAATAATAATGATGTCAACCTGCTCAGTTGGCGGCAGTCTTGCCTCTGGGTCGGATGGTTGTGACACATCAGGATGTTGATTCATTATAATGCTGCAGGAGTGCTGTTTTGTCAGAGGTGCCGTCCTTCGGGTGAGACATTAAACTGAAGCCCTCTTTGCCTGTTCAGGTGAATATTAAAGATCCCATGGTACGTTTTGAAAAAAAGAAGGCGTTACTCTTGGATTCCTAGTCAATAAATAAAATTGGTCATTCAGATCATGGCTGCTTATGGGACATTGCTGTGTGCACATCGGCTGTGATCACCTACAAAAATACACACTTATACTAAACTTTACCAGATGGCCTCACTACCATTGAAATGTGTAACTTTGTTTACTGTAACAGGATTTATTATAATAGATCTAACTTATCAATTAAGGAAGTTAGCAAGCTACAACTAAATTAAACATGAATATGTATCTAAACGTTTCCTCACCAAGCTGATGTGTGAATAGCACTGTGAGTAACCTGTTGGATAGCCACGTCATTATGTTAGCATGTGAATAGTGGCAACAGCAATCTTATAAATTCCCATCTGTTTATAGCACATTAGCATGTAAATCCCATTATAAATAGAGCATATAAATATATTATCTTTTAGTTGCTCCTTTTGTAACCTGTGCCCACATTTGTAGTTTTTGCTCTTATTTGTTTCATATAAACAACTTGAATTTAAAATGATAGCACTCCTTTCATTTATTTGTTCCTGCGCAATCGGAATGTTCACTTTCTGCTGTCAAATATCATTCGGCCATGTTATGAAATACCACTAAACTAAGCTGTGCAGGGATGCCCATTTCAATTGCAGGATTGTATATTTTACAATTGCAACGTTTCTTGTAAATACATAGATTTATATTATTAACTACATCTTTGTACAAAATAACAACAACAAAATTCCAGAATTCTTCCTCATTTGTTCTTCTTCTTCCAAAAATAGCAAATGTTTCAGGGAAAACTGCACTACTCGTGTAAGCTCTCATTCCTGCCAACAGTAAATTCTAAGGTTGTTTTACAGGAATATAAGAAAATATAGATCACTCAGACCATTAAATCAGCATTTTCTACAGAAATCAATGTGTCCAATTGTTTTTTTCATTTTAGCCTGTATCTATATGTATGTATCTGTTGGTAAGTATAGAGGGGCAAAAATGTAAGCTACCCATTAGATAATCTAAATAGAGTTTAGAAGGAACTCCTTTACATGCAGGAGTTTCACTCTGTGAATCTCTATCTCATAACTCTTGAGCTCTAAGTTCTGGATTCAACCTTTTTTTGCTCTACATCTTAAACATTTCATAAAATCATAGAATTATACAGCACAGAAGGAGGCCATCCGGCCCATCTTGTCTGTGCCGGCTCTTTGAAAAGAGCTATCCAATTCAATCCCACTCCCCTGCTCTCTCCCCATGGCCCTGCAAACTTGTCTTCCTCAAATAATTATCTACTTCTCTCTTAAAAGTTGTTATTGAATCAGCTTCCACCACCCTTTCAGGCAATGCATTCCAAGTCCTAACAACTCGCTATGTGAAAAAAGTGCTCTTCATCTCCCCTCAGTTTCTTTTAACAACTATTTTAAGTTGATGCCCTCGGGTTACCGACCCACCCGCCAGTGGAAATAGTTTCTCCTTGTTCACCCCATCGAATTCCCTTATCATTTTGAAAACTTCTATTAAGTCTCCTCTTAACCTTCTCTGCTCCAAGCAGAATAATTCTAGCTTCTCTACCCTCTCCTGATAACTGAAGTGCCTCATTCCTGGTACCATCCTGATTTCTATGTCTTTTTGAGGATAGATTGGCCAAACCTGCAATTTTCAACTTAGTCAATTGAGATGCAATGTAAATATATTTACTGGAAACTTTCCAGTGAATTTATTTATTAGCAGTTAATGCCCTTAAAATTCATTAGTCCATGATTGTTATCTGTATTGCATAGTTAATTAGCCATGGAGGTTCCAGTTGAATTCCAGGTTGAGCTTTCATGATATCAATACCAGTCATTCATTGTTAGCGTCTGAATTCAAAAGTCTTGTATCCGATGCCATATCTTTCTTGTAAGAGACAGCCACAGCAGAATATCCATTGCCTTCCCACGTCACAGAACTAATTGTTCTGTTCTAGAGAGCTCATTTTGAAAACAATTTCCAAGGAAGAAAGTTGTTTATTACCGTATAATTGTTGTTTATTAGGAGTAATACACTTCATTCACATTTAAAACACTAAGAAGGAAATGGAGTACAAGATACCAATAGCTCTGTGTTTGGTTTAGCTGCAGACAGAAACTTAGCATTGTTTCCAAAGGCATCTTTCCAGCCTCTTGGTCATATTCTTGTAGATAAGAAAATTGATCCTTTTCGCAGCTCAAATAATCGCAAAGGGACTATATAAATAGCACGTGAAAGTTGCTATATAAATGCATTTTGTTGTTGTTGTTGAAATACATTTATACAACCTACATACAACTTACATATATATAGTGCCTTTCAACTGTTTGTGCCTCTGCTTGTTACTTAAATCACTTCCTGTTTTCTTCTACGATAAATTACTCACACTGTAACCTGAAATACCTCAGTAAGTAACAAAACATCGCTCCAAGCAATCACACTCAGTGAGGTGCAATCAGAAATAGTTTGCTGTCATTGTGTATAAAACCCTCATCAATTATGCACAGAAGCCCAAGTAATCAAACACAAAGTAACATTTAATTTTATAATGAGAGTTTTTCTCTGTATTTGGGCTCAGTTAGCTGTAGCTTTTCAACAACAACAACAACAACAAGATTCCATTTATAAAGTGCCTTTCACGTCAGGAGGACGTCCCAAGGCGCTGCACAGTTGGGTCATGACCCGAGCAGGGGGGAAATGGTCAGGGTGAGGGGAGGGAAGGGAGGGAGCGAGGAAGGGGGAAATGGTCAGGGTGAGGGGAGGGAAGGGAGGGAGCGAGGAGGGGGAAGAGAGTCGAGAGGGGAGCTGAAGGCACGGTCAAAGAGAAAGGTTTTGAGACCGGCCTTGAAGGAGGAGAGGGAGGAGGCGGCGAAGGCACTGGGGGATAGAGTTCCAGAGCCTCGGGGCTGAGAGGCTGAAGGCCCGACCACCAATGGTAGGGCGATTGGGGCGGGGGACGTGGAGCAGACCGGAGCCGGAGGAACGGAGGGTACGGGCAGGTAGGTAGGTCGGAGAGGTAGGGAGCAAGGCCGTGAATGGCCTTGTAGGTGAGGATGAGGATCTTGAAATCAATCCTCCAGGGAGCCCTGGTCACAGATGGTCAGGATGTCATTGGTGACCTTGACCAGGGCAGTTTCTGTGCTATGGGCAGCACGGAAACCTGACTGAAGGGGTTCGAAAAGTGAATGGGTGGAAAGGAAAGAGCGCAGTTGGGAGGCGACAACTCTTTCCAGGACCTTGGAGAGAAAGGGGAGGTTGGAGATGGGCCGGTAGCTTGATAGTTTCGGTGAGTTTTGTTACAGAGCATGCAATCTTCATCAGCTATACAAATTATAGAATACTGATATAGAAAAATATCGTAATTTGAATTCTTATCAGCAGTGAGGTGTGTATTATAGAAAGTAGAATTGTTCCTCATTCATTCAGTCTCCATACAAATTCAGAATCAGCCAATCTTCATGCAGAAAGTCACAAAATATTGCTCTAAGACATTCCAAAGACCCTATCTTTAAGGAGCAAGGAATGCCTAGAGAGAACATTCTATTCAAAATATTTCACCCAAATATAGAAGTACAGTAAACAATTTACATCTGTAGTTTCCCTGTTTGTTTTTGTTTTTTAGTACACTAAGTGTCTGATAAACAAAACCCATCGCCATCCTTTGTCTAGAATGTAAGGTGTACTGTGACTCCAGAGGGAGGGACATGTCCTGCTTATCTGCTTGTGGAAAGTATTGAGCTCAGGTTAGAAAGTGCTAAGGCTGGTGGACCCCAGATTGTTTGGCTGGATTATTGCTGACGTTTAACCATAAATACATAAGAGAAAAAGGAATATATGTGTATGGAAACCGCTAGGGAGGAGTGATTAGGAAGGTTGGAGGCTCTTGTGAAGTATAAACACCCCCCGGACCAGATGGGCTGTTTTGGGTGCTGTAAGTTGTGTGTATGCATGTAACTTTGTCTATTCTATTGTATATTTGTGATTGATCCATGTAAGATAGTATCATAAGCAAGTTGAATAATCTTACAAGTGTTCTCCAAACTATTTATGAATAGTGTAGAATTCAGCTAGTAATTCCCCCAATAATAATAATTCTTGCTTTTGATATAGCGCCTTATCATGTCTTCGAGATGTCTCAGTGTGCTTCAGAGAATATACTGTAAAGTGAATTGAATGTATATTTTGTGGGCGAAACACAGCAGCCAATTGAGCACAGCAGTGTCTCTCAAACAGTCATGGATTAAAGCGTTACCAATTTTTTTTTGAGGGAATTATTACCCCCAGAAAAGTGAGGGCTTTATGAGAGTTTTACCCGTAGTTATCATACCTGTTTCCTACTGTTAAGACAGTTTTACCGCTAACTAATTTTCCACGATGTCCGTCAGGTTTAATCATCTTTAAAAATCTCACAGATGGAATTATATTAAATGCCTTCTGACATTTTGTTCATTGGATCCATCCTATCCATTTAATGTGTTAGCAACAAAGGATTTTAGCAGATTAATGCGGGCTATTGTTTCTAAATCCATGCTGATACTGTGACCTCAGCTCTGTAAATGATCATTAATAGCATCATGTGTTGTGTTCTTAAGCATTATCCCTATGACAGCTGTTCGGCTAACTGGTCTACATATTCCACATCCACATTGTATTCTATGTTTATAATGGCATGATATTATAAATTATAAAATTATAAAACTCCCTGACCCCAGCTCAGGTTTGAAATGCTGTATACTGTCCAGCGCTTTGGGACGTCCTCCCAACGTGAAAGGCGCTATACAAATGTAATCTTGTGTTTGTTGAAAAGGTACCTTTTTCAGAAATATTGGTATGTATTCCCCGAATAAAGATCTGTCAGCTTCAATGTAAGCAAATAAAAGTTGCATTTATTAAAATTAACACATTCCAATTTACTCATGGCCTTAGCCTCAAGACGATTCGTCTTAAAATTTAAATTATTTTTGAATTTAATACCAGTACAATTTTAGAATTTTTTAAAATTCAGTTTTATTTTGGAAGCTGGTTTTAAATAATAATGTCCCAAAGCACTTCAAAGCATATACTGTTAGTGCAGCGACTGTGTGTTTTGTGAGCGAATGCAGTAGCCAATTTTTGCAAGGTGATGTCCCACAAAGAACCATGAAGTGAATTACCAATTGTCCACAGTTTCTGAAAAGAATTTATCTTTAGGCACTGTGATTGCAGGACTCTAAAATAGTGAAGGGAAATAAAATCAATGCGATGAAAACATTTGGCCCAAATCCATGTTCCTTACAATATTGCTGGATTTTTCCTTTTAAAACTCTAAAACAAAGCACGTAATATATAGTGTAGCTTATTGTGAAGTGCTAAGAGGTAAGACATGCTTCAGATTTGTAAGAGCTCCATTACTTTACTTTCAGGAGGAGGAACTGGAGGCACAGGTATCATTTCTCCAAGGGCAACTGAATGACCTGGAGGCCATGTGCAAATTCTGTGCTAAGATGATGAATGTGCACCTTGGTAAGTTCTAATGGTATTTGTTTTCACTAAGCAAATAATATTTTCATTATGTAGAAAACATTGGTGCTTGTATAAATTATAAATATTTATCTGTGTAGTTACTCATTTATCAGCGCCTGTAAATTTTGGTTCAGTGTTTTCCTCTCTAAGTAATTTAATTTACTTTGATCAGCTGTTACCCCAACTTTTGAAAACACTATAGCAGTTTTAGCCTTCATGCTTTATGACTTGATGCTGTGATTCATTTAATCTGATTGATACATCTTTGAGAGATGTGCTTTAGGGACGTCATAGCTTTAATTGTGCGCTAGCAGTTTTGTGTGTTTGGAAAGAAATAAGGTTTTCTGTGAAACAAAATACTTGCTTTTTTTTAAAGCTTAATTGTGTGAAATCACCTGTTAGGTGATCAATGCTCTACAGCTCACAGTTGTCTACCACCACATGCGTGTCTGGCTGATCCAGATAACAACCGAGTGTTGACCTAATCCTGTCAGTACCTAATTTAGAGCAACAACTTGCATTTATATAGTGCCCTTCACACACCCTTGAAGCACTTGACATATACATGTGGAGTACATTTACATGTGCTTTTCACTTAGCAGTAAGTGTGACTTACATTGTATCTTTATAGTCTATATGAAACATTCTGTCATGAAGGGTAGGCTGAATTGGGTATATGCCATAAACACTAAACCATTAAAGTAATTTTAATGTGATGTTACAAGCAACAATAGCATTAGTGCCTCAATAAAATCATAATTTTTCAAATATTTCGATGAAGGGTAGAGTCTCAAATAAATTTCCAGGGAAAGTAATACTTCAATAATAAATCAAGGACTTTCTAGATATTCTGGCACATAATGACACATCTTGGGGAGAAAGCAGTGGTTCAAGAGTTACTACCTCATTTGATATTGATTGCAGTAATTACCCCTTCAGATTATTTGTACACTTAAAGTGCAGGCATTGAGTTTCTGGACTATATCTTGACCATTCAGCATCGTGTAAGATGCCAATTAAATTTAAGAATAAGTAGAAATGTGCTCTATGTTAATACAGTAGAACACCATTGCTTCTACAGGTATTGCTAAATTAGTTGAGTTTAGATCCCCAAATGCTATACTCAGACTGTACATGCTCTGGGCAGACCTCACGTTGAATACTGCATACAGTTCCGGTCACCGTGACATAAGGGGAAGCCCTGAAGGTAGTGCAGAGGAGAGCAATGAGGATGATCCCCAGTGAATGTAGCTCATTCCTCTGTTGAAGTCACCACATTTGATATTTGATAGTGGATTGTTGCAGTACTTGTGGATGCACACTGGAACCAATGTTTCTGCTCATTGAACCCTGCATCACAAGCCATCAATTTTGTCACTGATGACATTTCAACTATCGTGTATCGCTTACTTAACACTGTTCTACATTCATATTTCAAATCAGTCATATTTCAATTACTAACATAGTTTTTATACATTAAAAGCGGAGTTACGTATAATCTTTATTCAAAATATTATGGAGGCACTACTTAAAGTACAAATGAGAATGCTTTGGTTGCAATATATTTTCTGTTTCTGGATCCACTGGCCCATCGCTGGAGTCTACAGTATGTCAGCGAACACAAGGATCACAGCCTCTTTTGTATTTACATTTGTGTTATTCTGGAGCAGTTTTTCCTTTTAATCTGAACACGCTATGATGATCCTTCTCTTACGGATCACAGATCTCATCCCTTGTTTTCACAGCTGTTTCAGCATGAGGCTGATCCTGATGCCTGAAATGATTTCTACGCTCCCTTTAATCCCTTTCTTCAACCATGGCTCATAGATTTTCCTTTTTACCCCTCTCCCCCCACCCCCCCCTCCCCCGGTGTGTTAGCCTGGCTGGGCTGATAGCACTCTTGCCTCTGAGTCAGTAGGTTGTGGGTTCAAGCCTCAAGTCGGGATCTGGAACCCAAATAGTCTATGCTGACGCTCCAAAGCAGTGCGAGAGGCCGTTCTTTTCAGATGAGCCTTTAAACTGAGGTCCCATCTACCTTTACAGATGGACGTTAAAGATCCCATGGCCCTATTCAAAAAGAGAAGAGAGTTTCTCCCTGTGTCCTGGCCAACAATTGTCCAAATAAAATAAAATAAAATTGGGCATTCACTCAAGTGGCTATCTGTGCAAATTGGCTGCTGCGTTCGCCTACAGAATACACAGTCACACTATATACATACAGTATATATTTACAGTATATCCTGTGGAGGGTTTTGAGACGTCTCAACAATATGATAAGGTGCTATATCAAATGCTAGGATTATTATTCTCTCCTTCCTTAAATCCCGTCCCCGATTGCTTAATTTTTTTACTTCGACTCTGATCTCTCTTCTCCCTGATTTTCTTTTTCTTGATGTTTTTTTGTATCTCCCTGATTTCCTCACCCAATTTCACCTCATCCTTGCAGAACACCCACCTTACAATCAAAGCATCAAGTTTTTTATTTTAAACGAGTTTAGTGCCCAGGCCTCAAATACTTTTCCTAATAACCTGTTCCAGGCATTAATTACACTCTGGGTAAATAAATACATACTAATGTCTGTCTTGAAATTGCCTCTTGTCGTGCTAAACCTGTGTGTTTAGGGCTAACTAAATGCTACTCACAAAGAATCTGAGTCAGGAAATATTAGTACTGGAGAGTATTATTGTGTCCATAGTGATTACGAACCTCTTTAAATATCCCTAAACTGTACACCATTCCGTGATCAAGAGGGTCAACCAGTAACCTTTTAACCTCCTTTGCTGATGTGACTTTATAACTGACCACTACAAAAGCAGTGACGGAATCGGCTTTCTGATTTCCTTGCCATTATGCATGGCCTCTGCTCAGTCACAATTTTCATGGTTGAGCCCAGGGTTCAATAGAAATGCAGGTTAAAGATAACATAGGTGGTTCAGAATCATCCGGCATTCCTTGCCTCCTACTTCTGACTCTGGCTGATAAATTACAAATGAAAATGTATTTTATTTTCTTGTCTGCTTTTGACACAGAATCAGCCCCTAAGTTGACTTACGAGTTCTGTCACATTCAGCACCAAAGAGAATTGGCACAGCCAAGGTTTGCTTAAAAGATAAATACAATAGCTCAGACAGTGTGGAGAACCTATTGTGAGCATTCGATTTGCCGAACACCTCCGTTCTGTCCGCAAGCACAACCCTGAGATTCCAGTTTTTTGCCATTTCAACTCTCCCTCCCACTCGCGCTCTGACCTCTCCATCCACGGTCTCCTACGCTGTTCCAATGAACCACAGCGCAAGCTCAAGGAACAGCACCTCATTTATCTGCAAGGGACCTTACAGCCCTCTGGCCTCAATATGATTTCAACAATTTCAGACTATAACAGCTCACCTTCCCCCTCTCCCTCTTCTGTGACCATTATCACATCATCTGGTTCCCAGACACACTTTTTCTCTCTCTGGTCTGTCTGTTTTGTTACAATTCTCCTCCTTTGTTTTTCATTATTGACACCTCTTTAACCCATCATCCCCTGTCCTGTATCCCATTTTCTCCTTTGTCTTCCTTGCTCTGCCTCCCACCTCTCTGTCAGTCCTTAAAAGCCTCTCCCTCCCAATATGCCCCAGTTCTGAGGAAGGGTCATGGACCCAAAAAGTTGACTCACTTTCCTTTCTCCATAGATGCTGCTTGACCTGCTGAGTGTTCCCAGCGACTTCTGTTCTTGTTTTATAAAACTAGTTTGCCTATCGCAAGTTTATGTTTTAAAGAGCTGTTTAAACCTATCAGTAATGAAGAATCAGTTTAGCTCTTAGCTCTGGAGAATAACTTTCTGGAAATTAGATTTTCACCAGTAAAATTGCTTATTAACAAAAAGGTTGTTGCTTATAATCTAGGTACAAGAGGATTTATCTGCCTTTGAATTGAAACATAGCAAGTAATGTTTTAGTCAAAGTAACCTGTTTTGAAGTAAAATTTATTTTTGCGTTGCAGGCAAAATACAAGATGTAATTCTAAAAGAAAACCTTCAAAAAGAAGATGAAATCTTGGTATCACTGGCTGGACTTAAACAGGTAGATATAATAACATATTCCTTTTTTATTACTTGAATAAAATGACTTGATATTCCTCCTCCCAAACATACCTATGATTAATATCACCTGTCCACTTCAGCTCAGGAGCCAACCGATGATATATTCTTTCTGATTCATTGAATCTTCACATAAAATAGCAATTGCTGTCAACCATGGAGGCAAGAGGGAGATTTGCCTACATAAAATGCTTGCTATTGTGAAGCCTTTTTTCTTAGGTGATGTACAGGTTAATGACTTGGTAACATGCTGTGTGCTCTTTCCCATTTTTACCATTTTTATGTTCAGCATTATTTATTGCTTGTTTTAGGTTTGTTCCCTGCGTATTCCCTGTTGTGTAAAAGCCTTGTTCCGAACAGCTTTACAACAACAATTTGCATTTAAATAGCGCCCTTCACATGGGGTAGCGTCCCGGAGTGCTTCACAGTAGCAGAATCTGACAACGAGTCAAGGGAGGGGGGAGATGACTGTAAGCACGATCAAAAAGGAAAGTCTTTAGGCGCGATTCGAAGATGGGGAGGGAGGGGGCAAGGCGGAGGGATTGAGGGTGAGAGTCCCAGAGTTTTGGGGCGTAATGGCTGAAGGCACGGCCACCGATGGTGAAATGGAGGGTACGAGGGATAAATAGGAGGCTAGAGTCAGCCAAGTGGAGGCAGCGGGAGGTGGAGTGGATAGATAAGCAGGTTGGATAGATAGGGAGGTGCAAGGGAATGGAGTGATTTGCAAACGAGTGAAAGAATCTTGAAGTTCAGCGATTGGGAGCCAGAGGAGCCTGGAAAGGACTGGTGTGATGGGGGTACGGAGTTTTGTGTGGGTGAGTATCCGGGCGGTGGACTTTTTAATTTGATTTTGTGTGTGGTGGAGCTGGAGAGACCAGCGATGTCTGATCAGTCCTCAGAAGAATTGGAAGTGAAGAATTTTGGAACATTTTAAATTATTTCTCAATTTGGACGTCAGTTTTTTTGCAATTCGTAAAAAGAAGTAAACCAGATTCTAAAATTGAATTTAAGACTGAAATTTAAGACAGATTCTAAGACTGAATTTAAAAACGTTCCACAATCCATATGTTTTAAATGTTTAGGTCTACCTAAGGTCTTACAACTAAGACTGGGTAAAATTTCAGGTCTCTGATGCTTATGCACATTTTGCAATAATACAGTGAGCGACATTGCACAGAATGTGCTGATAATTGCACCCATTTCACAGTAATTTATTACACCAGTAGCACATTGGCACTCATTAGAATGATGGCTGTCAGCATTAATCACTTGAGATGCAGCAGTTTACAGAATGTTTAGAAGGAAGCATACTGGAGTCCAGTGCAAGGTGTTCTTGGCTTTTAGTTGAGAAAGTCCTACTAAACATGGCCAAAGCTTCTTACGCCAGTTAAAATGTTAATATATTTAGAGTGTACATTTTACGGAAGAAAATCCAGTTAGTTTTGTAGCTTATGGTAGCCTTTTGCTGTCGTAAGGATATGATTCGTATTCTCTCATGTAAAAAATTAGTTACATAAGAGAAATAGTTACATAATTTATCATTTAGATTTTTTTACACACACAGGCAATAGATAGCCTTACCAAAATGTCTGTTGAAAGTGAATTCTTAGCAGAAAAGGGAAATCGTCAGATACATAAGTAAGTGAAGCGTTATAATAAAGGATGCAGGCACTAGAGAAGATAGATACAGTGGGGGAGTTAGGACCAGCACAGGCACAGTGGGTCGTAAAGCATCCTTCTGTGCTGTAAACCCTTTCTGCCAGGCAGTGCGTATTTAAATGATTCTTGCGCGGAGAGGTGCTCAATCAAAACACTGAAATCATTTGTTTCAAAAGAGATTTGCCTTTCGTTGCTATTATGTGGTGTCGGCTCACTGCTGCGACAACAGCAATACTATGATTGGCTGTAATAGTATCATAGAGTCTTAGCAAGCTCAGAATATTCCTTTTGAATTTCAATTTGTATTTCCTCCATGGGCATCCTCTCCCTGTTGCCTGGGCAATGGTCACGTTTAGTTTCAAATCAAATTAATTTCCTTACAACAACAAATAGAAGCAATATCACAGTGACTGACTCGCACCCACTCCAGCAGCATTGAACGGAGGTCTCATATGTCCACATTATGACAGCAGTCAGAGGATCTCCCAACCAGCTCAGGCTCATTCTCGTGGCCTTTAGTGGCACAAATTTCCTGTCCTTCATCTTGACAGCAAAACCTTAATTGTTTGTGGGGAAATACGTAGAGAAAAATAAGTATCTCACCACAACAATAAACACCATTTTCCTCGTGCACTTTTTCCATCCCATTATTTTGAGTCGGAAACTTTGAGCCAGATGCTCTGTCTTCAAATTCTTTTTTGTAATTCAATGGTGGTTCTGAATGGAACCACATCTTTCAGCAGTGTGGTTCCACAATACATTTGAGCGCAAACCTGTAGTTCCATATAGTGAAATTCTTGGATGCCAAGAATAGAAGGTGGCATAGGTTTGAATCAAGGAAAGACTTTAAGAGAAAATCTTGATTTCACAACTGCTGATGGGAGCTGGAATTGTATTTCGTCATTTATGAGCCATAGGCTCTTATTATTTTTGTGCTGCACTCATTTACAGAGATATGTTTCAAATGAAATACAAGATTACTATTCTCTGCATTATTGTGTACTTTGTTATTGACCTGAACTAAGCTGCAATCATCTTTAGGGATGCTCAGACTGCTGAATGTGTATAAGTGTCACTTCCAATTAAGTTTCATAGAGATTAGATCTGTAGGAGTGTCCTCCAGCGGCTTCTACCTTGTTCTAGCATGCAGCACTAATAAGCTGTGCGACTAGCCACAGTGTGAGTGATTAACCCTGCCTTCACTATTCTGTTGATATCAAGCTAAAGATGCTGCCATTTCCAATACATTGACTGTACATTCACAGCATACGTTATGCTAAGTTTATTGCATTAAGTCCTGCTTTTTGCAGATAAGGGGTGGGGAAGAAGGTCCAAAGAGTACTTTGCGCCCAAGGTCCCCCATTCAACTAGCTTCCACAAGGCCTGCCATTCAGGCCTTCTTCCCTCTCTATCTTGTAAACATTGGCATCCAGACAGTACTATGATTTGCAAATTTAGGTGGTTCTAAATTGGCTGCTCAACCTTCTTCCCCACCCCTCAAAGTTCAGCCTCATTGAAGTGAATGGAGTTGTTCCAAGAAATGTGGGTCGTTGCTATACGGTATGTCAATGAAAGCTAAAGGGAAAAGAATCCCAGAATGGCAGGAAAAATGGTAACATCTCTGTTCTACATACATGTGCAGGTGCGTTGCCAGCATTTTCTTACTCTGGATAATAACTATGGGAGCCACAAGTCCTTCACAAAGGTGTGTGCACCTGTGAATGTTTTTGAACCCACATTGCACCCACAATCCAGCGGCAGCAGTCATTGTCATCAAGTCAAAGTTGACAGATAGACTTTTGTCGGTCATCTTGCACAATGCCTCTTATCTTCCAGTCATGGATCAGGTTTGCATTAAGCTCCATCTACTTAATCCAGATCCCTATTTAAGGGCTTTACCAAAGAGCTCAACTCTCAACAATGCCAACTTACATCCAGGATGCACATTGGCAGTCATAGGCTGGACGTATTTAAAATCTGTTAGCACTACAGGCCAGACGGTAAACATGTACAGTCAGTCACCTCCTATCATTTTAACAGATTGTGTTCAGGTGCAGATCCCTGACTGTCCAGTGCCTTGGGACGTCCTCCTGTCATGAAAGGTGCATATAAATGTAATTTGTTGTTGTTCGTTGGGTTCCAAGGTTGACTTCATTGTGTAAGAAGACCCTGTCCTAACAGTCCTAAACAGCAAGCACTCTGTCTGGCTGTTTCTAAGTTCAAAAAATTGTTTGGGAAGAAAAACAAATAATTTCTGTCTTTATATATCATGGTTTACAGTTTACATGATAATCTATTTTATGAGCTCTGTATTTTTCAAACAGCCACATTTGCTCCAGAGGTTCCTTTTCAGTTCTGATCTACTTGACCTTTAATCATGTTCAATTCTCTTTGACAGATCAAGGACATTTTGAAAGGATCACTACGGTTCAATCAGAGTCAGTTGGAAGCAGAGGAAAATGAGGAGATCACAATAGCAGATAACCATTACTGCTCTGCCAGCCGTGCAGAGGGCGAGAGCAGGAAGCAGCAGGGCACTGACAGGGAGTTGCAAGTCACCACAAAAACAGAAGAGGTAAATCCACTCAAATGCCTTGTTTGAGATTTGCTCATAAAAAATCTTTGTTTAAAAGGTCAAACATATCCTCATCTGAATGGTTTAGTATTAGAAGGTGCCAAAATTAGCGTAAAACATGAATTCATAATTTGATTGAACTGTTTTGTACAAAGCACAATTTGTGAGATGGAATCATTTGTTTTTGCTATGATTTTAAATGGATTTCTCTCCTGTCCACCCAAACTAAAAGTCTCCTTTGTCTCCATTCTGATCCTGAAAGTGCTGGGCAGGAAACCATTATTATCTGTGGACCCAGATTATAAATGTTTGCAGGCTATTTGCCCATGTGGAGGATGTCCCCAGCAAGGTTGGTAGCGAGTCAGCAGGTCAGAGAGGTAGGAGGGGACAAGGCTATGGATGGCCTTAAAGGTGAGGACGAGGATCTTGACCTTGATCCTCTGGAGGATGGGGAGCCAGTGGAGTCGGGCGAGGGTGGGAGTGATGGGGTCACGGAGCCTGGTGCGTGAAAGTACACGAGCTGCAGAGTCTCAAAGCGCTTCACAGAGTATGCTGTAAAGTGAATTGACTGTATATTTGAAATTCCTCCTCACGATTTATTGTCAAGTGTAGTGACTATGTTTTGTATTTGAACCCCCAATGTAGCCAAAACTGATCACATACCAAGGATCAAATCTGTGCTCAGCAACACTAGAATGGGTGTTGTATTTACCCACTAAGCTTTAAATGGATTTTTGACTGTTTTCTAACTTGGTCCCACGTACCACTTGAAATGATCTTCTAGAAGGTGTTTTAAAAGCAATGTAATTTGCTTCTAACATAATTGGTTGCTGCCCGTTGTTTAGTTTGACATGAAATGAAGCCTTTCACTGACAACTAATCTGGAGAGAATTCTTGAAAGTGGCTGTGCCCAAGATAAGGACCATTTAGTTTACTTCACTCTAGAAAATCTAACATTACTTAGTCAATGATCCACTGTTATTAAAGTATTCTCTGTTTAATTTTAGGCAACATCGCTGACTTCACTGAATTCAGAAGGAAGAAACTCAGATGACTATATCTTGGTTTCTAAAGAAGATGATGACTTAGTGCAGGAGCATCCTTCTGAGAAGTTAGAAGCAACAGGAGTGACTTTGTCACATCAGCACATCTCCCAAGAGCACAAACCCGCTGTAGAATGTGGAAAACAGATGCAGCAGGCTTTTTTCTCTGACCCACTTACTTCTGGAGTTCTGGAGTCACCATCCAGCAATTCTGAATCTAGTCCAGATGATGACAGCAGCAACAGCAAGGATTCAGATTTCACAATTGTTAGCCCACTGGACATCTAAGCAATGTTCAAACCAGACGGCAAACTTTTTACCCGCACACTAATCAAATTGTGTATGGATTATTTGGCAAGTGAAGCAGTCCTGTCTGTATATGCAGGTTTAATTATTTCAGCGGGTTCTTAACGATGTGCGTTTGACATTTAAGGATAAATTTTGGATCATTGTTGACAGATAAGACGTTGCTTTTAGTTTCCGTCTTACGTCCACAACAGTTAACAGATGCTTCTCTTCCAAATGGTTATAACAATGTAAGCAGTTCTGAAACAGATCCTATAGCATTCCAGTTTGCCATGGTGAGCTTCAATTCAGAACAGAACTTGCTAATGCAGTAGCATGGTTCTTGATAATGAAAAAAATCAAAAAAAGTGCCCGATGATACTAATCTACTTTTCTATTACTTCACAAAACAAATCATGTAATACTTTTAGAGCTACTTATTGGTAATACAAAAGCAACTCCATTCTTGACCAAGCAGGAATAGACCATCTCGTTACTAGCTGTTTCATGCTGCTCCCATAGGCACTGTTACTCTGTAGAACTGTTCTTACAACTTTGAAAAATAACTAAGCATTATACCTATCTCGGTATCAACTGTCATAGATGCATGCAGAGTTGATACAATGACTGTAAGTATCCATACTGTTATAGAAATCTGAGAAGAGAGGGGAATACTTTTACTTTGTTGCACTGCATATTTTACAGTATTTCAGGGGTTATTATAGAAGCTGTTTTATACAAAATTGGATGTTTCACTGAATGGAATTAATTTGGCATTCCCAAGGCTAAAGGCCATACTGTACTCACCAATATTGGTATCTCCAAGTACCCATTTTGTGTATGGTTGGTTATAAGATGTATACTGAACAAGTATAAATTTCCAATCTATCTGATTGTTGTGGAGTAACATAGTCACTAAAATGTACTAATGAAATAGTGGATTCTTGTTCTTATGCCTTCCTATTGGAAATGGAATTGCAATAAATCATTTGCATTCAGTAATGATCATATGGGTGAGATGAGGCTAAATGCTGTTTTATTAATCTTCCAATTGATTGACCTGATCGTTCCATAGCTTTGTTACCTTTCACTAACCTTGTTGCTCTTTGATTGCATCAACAATATCAAACTGAAATGTGTTTACATTGTTCTACCAATTTCAAGGTGGGAACAGTATCTGTTGGTTCTCCAGTGCAGCACATGTGCTTATCTTTGAAAAGTGGGCTTTTCAATGATAAGCACTAGCAATTATATAAATAGCAAGCTGACATTGCTGAGTAGTCTCAGTTAAAAACAAAAGTTGCTTCCTGATTATTTTCTACTGTTTCTATTAAAATGAGCTGTGCGACACAGATGTCTCCTAATATGAGATTGTTTCCTAAAGTTTCTGTGCTGAAGCGTTCAATTGTGCACACGATATATGTAGAACGTCTGATCTACATGAGAAAATCATTGGAAAATATTATACCATGATTGAATATAGTAGTTTAGTGTAAAATCTCACCTGAAACTTATGCAAGTTGTCAAAATGTTTATTGAACCAGTAAACACTTAAATTGCATATGGAGTACCATAACCAGATTATGCACTTATTCTCTGTTACAATATTGGCCCGTTATAGAGAAAGTAATATTATTAGAGTACACGGTCAATGTACAAACTGATTTTTTATACATATATACAGACTTACAGGGTTCTGTACTGTACTATGTCTGAAATCAAATGCATGGACTGTGTACATTTTTCCCAACTACACAGTGAATTGCAAACACTGTTTTGTCCAGAGTTGTGGTGGGAATCTTAATAAAGCAAAATGTGCTTAATGAACTGATATACTGCTGATCAATAAATAAAACATTTACCAACAAACTAATTCTCTAATCGATTTTTACTTTAAGATATCTGTTCTAAAATTGACCTTGATGGGTATCTGAAAGGTAAATTTATTGCTTTAGGTTTTTTTTTCTCCATCATTTACTTCTGTAAGATCTGCTCCAAGCCAACATATTCTCATATGAGAGAAATACATCCTGAAAAGGTTTTCATATTGTCTCATTTACAGTCCTTACAGGTTTTCTTGCAAAGAAACACATTTTGCCCATAAAATATACAGTCAATTCACTTTACAGTATACTCTGAAGCGCTTTGAGAGGACTTGAAGATGTGATAAGGCGCTATATCAAATCCAAGGATTATTATTTATTATAAGACCACTATGCAACTGTTGTCTCTCTCTCTCCCAGTTTGTTGACAGGACTATACATACTTGTGTTCAGATCAAAAGGGTCCATTCCAGATCTTTGGATATGTTCATGTATGTTTCCCGCCAATTCCTAGCAACTTGGGAGCTTAACTAAGACCCAGACTAACCCCTCTAATCTTTCAGCAAATCACATTAAAACAAGTTGAGACCACAGTCCTTCTTTACCCTTCACGTGCCAACCTCTGTGAGGCTCCATTCACAATGATCCCATGCTATGCTGCCCCAGCCCACTCAAAGGACTTTCTGATATGCGTCACCAAACCCAAACTACTGTTTCACTGATTTATTGCCGTCAGTCATCAATTCCCAGGCTGGCCATCAAATCCTACATTTCCTACAGCAATGGGCAATTATTTTCCAATCAGCTATGCTGCATAATTTGTACAGATTAGCATTTGCCTTGAATTTTTAATTTGTGAAAACAAGTGAAGCATGAATTTGATAGAACACATATTTGCCAATAAGATTTCTATCAAATTTCTCCTTGAAAAAATCTATCTGGTATTTAGTAATGAAATCTGCTTGCTGACAAAAACAAAATCAGCTTCTTTGGATCTTATTTGCTATGATCACAATTCTATTCAAGGAGGTGATTTCAGGATGAGTGTCAATCACAGTGCAGTGTAAAAACTCCCTACAAACCTTTCAAAGAACCGATTTTATTGTGACCAACTATTTAATAATGATAAAAATTACTTGATTTCAGTATCGAGCAAGCTGCCCATGCACTACAACAGTTATTGCCCTGGAAAGGGAAGATGTTCTAGAGGGTCCAAAAACAGAATCTATTTGGTTAGAGTTAAGCAGCAGAAAAGAAGCTATTACTATGTTAAGTGTATACTATAGCCCACCAAGTAGAGAGAAGGAGATAGACAAGCAAATCTGCAAGCAGATTTCAGTAAATGCAAAACCAACAGAGTAGTAGATAATGGGGGACTTCAATTATCCTAACATAGACTGGCAAAATAACAGTGTAAAGACAAGGAGAGGGAAGGATTCCTGAAATGTGTTCAGGATAACTTTCTGGATCAATATGTTTCCAGCCTAACGAGGAAGGAAGCAGTGCTGGATCTAGTTCTGGGGAGTGAAGTGGGGCAAGTGGAGCAGGTTTCAGTTGGAGAACATCGGGACAACAGTGATCACAACATCATTAGGTTTGGAGTATTATGGAAAAGGAAAAGGAGCAATCAAACATGAAGATACTCAACTGAAGGAGGGCTAATTTCAGCAAGTTAAAAAGGGACCTAGCCAAGGTGGACTGGAAAGAAAGATTGGCAGTTAAAACAGCTAATGAGCAATGGGAAGCCTTCAAGGAGGAGATAGTTCGGGGACAGAACAAATACATTTCCACAAAGGGGAAAGGTAGGGCATCCAAACCTCCCTGGATGAATAAGGAAATTGGGATTAAAATAAAAAAGGAAAAGGAGGCTTATGATAAATGTCAGGTCCAAAATACAAAAGATAATCAAATAGAATATAGAAAGTACAGAGGAGAACTGAAAAAGGAAATAAGAGGGACAAAGCGAGTGTGAGAAAAGATTAGTGGGTAACATAAAAGGGAACCCTAAGGTATTTTATAAGCATATAAAGAATAAAAGGTTAGTCAAAGGTAGGGTGGGTCTAATTAGGGACCAAAGAGGAAATCTTCTTATGGAGGCAGTGGGCATAGCTGATGTACTGAATGAGTACTTTGTATCTGTCTTCACAAAAGAGGATGCAGCCAATGTCACAGTTGAATAAAATAAGAATAAACCGAGAGGAGCTACTAAAAAGGTTGTTGGTGCTCAAGGTAGATAAGTCCGGACAGGATGCATCCTAGGTTACTGAGGAAAGTAAGGGTAGAAATAACGGAGGCTCTGGCCACAATCTTTCAATCCTCCTTGGACACTGGGGTGGTGCCAGAAGACGAGGGTTACTCCCCTGTACAAAAAGGGGCAGAAGGATAAACCCAGGAACTAAAGTCCAGGCAGCCTAATGTCAGTAGTGGGAAACTTCCAGAGATAATAATCCAGGACAAGATAAATTTTCACTTAGAAAAATATGGGTTAATAAATAACAGCCAACACAGATTTGTTAAAGGCAAATCATGTCAAACAAACCCAATGGGGTGTTTTTGATGAAGTAACAGAGAGGATGGATGAAGGTAGTGCAGTTGATGTAGTTTATATGGATTCTCAAAAGGCGTTTGATAAAGTGCCATATAAGAGACTTGTAAGCAAAATAGAAGCCCACGGTATTAAAGGGACAGTAGCAGCATGGATACACAACTGGCTGAGAGTCAGAAAGCAGAGTGGTGGTGTAGTGCTTTTTTCTGACTGGAGGGAAGTGTGTAGTGGTGTCCCCCAGGGGTTAGATTTGGAACCACTGCTGTTTTTGATCTATATAAATGACCTGGACTTGAGTATACAGAGTACGATTTCCAAGATTGCAGATGATACTGAGCTAGGAAAAGTAGGAAACAGTGAGGAGAATAGTGGCAGTCTCCAAATTGACATAGATAGACGGGTAAAATGGGCAGACACGTGGCAGATGAAGTTTAATGTGGAGAAATGCGACGTGATGCATTTTGGGAGGAAGAATGAGTCGAGGCAATATAAGCTGATGGTGCAATCTTAAAGAGAGACTTGGAGGTTCACATAAGTAAATTTTTAAAAGTAACAGGACGGGTAGATAAATCTGTTAGAAAAGCATACGGGATACTAGGCTTTATAAATAGGGGGATAGAATACAAAAGCCAGGAAGTTATGATGAACGTTTATAAAATACTGGTTGGGCCATAGCTCGAGTACTGTGTTCAATTCTGGGCACCACACTTTAAGAAGGATGTCAAGGCATTGGAGAGGGTGCAAAGGAGATTTACCAGGATGGTACCAGGAATGAGGGACTTCAGGTATCAGGAGAGGCTAGAGAAGCTAGGATTATTCTCCTTGGGGCAGAGAAGGTTAAGAGGAGACTTAATAGAAGTTTTCAAAATTATGAGGGGATTCAATAGGGTGAACAAGGAGGTTACCGACCACTGGCAGGTGGGTCGGTAACCGAAGGGCACTGATTTAAAATAGTTGTTAAAAGAAACAGGGAAGGGAGGAGAAATTTTTTCACACAGCGCATTGTTCAGATCTGGAATGCATTGCCTGAAAGGATGTGGATGCGATTCGAATAACAACCTTTAAGAGCGAAGTAGATAATTATTTTGGGAGGACAAGTTTGCAGGGCTATGGGGAGCAAGTGGGATTGAATTGGATAGCTCTTTTCAAAGAGCCGGCACAGACACAATGGACCGAATGGCCTCCTTCTGTGCTGTATAATTCTATGATTCTATGATCCTATGATACAAGACTAGGTGTTACATTTCCAATGACACCAATGTTATGTAACGCAGGAAATACAAATCTGAATTCCCACTTAAATTTTAGTTCTCAACTGACGTTGAATGAGTTCTAATTCTTTAAATTTGTTTTATGTTTTTCTGTCTTATTTCAACAACAAGAAGAAGATTGCATTTATAGAGCGTCGGGAGGATGTCCCAAGGCGCTGGACAGTTGGGTCGGGACCCGAGCAGGGGGGAAATGGTCAGGGTGAGGGGAGGGAAGGGAGGGAGTGAGGAGGGGGTAGAGAGTCGAGAGGGGAGGTGAAGGCATGGTTGAAGAGATGAATGCTGAATTTTTTCATCAGTCTCAGCATCAAAACTATAAAACAGATAAAAGGTTTTTTCCAAGCTAAATAGCCATTAATATGCTCAGTCAAAAGCCAACAAAAACATCTTCAACAGTGGAGCTGGGATCAAGTTCTTTCTGGTTCTTATATCTTTACAATATGGGGAGAGGCTGCTTTCTGGTTGGTCTCATTAGACCTGATCAAATTTTTTAAATGAAAGCATTAAACGAGGTAGTTATAAACAGACTGATTTAGAGCAGAACTAGAACTAGACAGCACCGGTTCAAAATGAAAAAAAAACTGCAGTACATGGAGCTAGAGATCACTTCCTTTTTTTTCCTACCAAGCAATGAGGTATTATGTTGTCTGATTCCTTCAGGAAACAACCAAGTATCAGCTTGAGAGCACTACCAGAGGGTATAGGAAGAGGTGTAGAGTGATGAACAAGTATGCAGTTATGTGCTGTGGTACACAATGATTTCTGTGCTAATTGATAGTGGGGAATATTCTATGTGCTGAGAAATGGGTCAGGTTTGAAAAGTGTAAATGTGTGAGGAGTGAGGATTGATGGACGAATGGACATTTCTTGTTCCATGCTTTCTTATGTTTCACCTGGGCAACAATTTCAAAAGCCTCTCAGGTTTAGAGATAACAAGAACAACAATGTCGGGAAGACATCCCAAGTCGCTGGAGAGTCAAAGTTTTGGACCCGAGCTGGCAGTCGGGACCGGGGAGGGTGGAGGGCAGGGGGCGAAGCAAGGAGATCAAAAGCACGGTTGAAGAGGAGGGTCTTGAAGGTGGCAAGGGAGGGGGTGAAGTGGAGGGACTGCGAGATGGAGTTCCAGAGGGTGGGGACAGAGTGGCGGACGTCCTGCCCTCCAATAGTGGGGCGAGCGAGGCAGGGGACATGAAGTAGGCCGGAGCCCAATGAGCAGAGGGAGCAAGCAGGATG